TACATATATATATATATATCGTTAAAAGAACACAAGGTTTTAACATGTTCCAGTCCAAATTTTGGCAAGTGTTGCAAAAATTGCAATAAAATATTAGAAAATTAACATTCTTTATAAAATAAAACAGCACATGTAATATGTATTATGTATTTTATATAATATGAATTATGAAATTTTTTCATCTTTTTTTTCTGGGGCGAAATCCAGTCATTTCAATAGGAATCCAAGCGATCAGGAACTTCACATCTGGGAAAAAGGTTTTTCACATCAGGGAAAAACAAGTTCAAGTTAGTCACACAGATTCTTCATGTTGACCAACAGAATTCTGCTTTGTGAAGAATTTCACATTTAGCTTTAAGAATTTCAAACCGCCTGCTTTCTACCCTTTACACTTCAAATACACTGTCATAAAAAGACAGGTTTTTTTTTTTTTTTAGATTTTTGGTTAGTGGATGCTAAACATAGACCAAGAAAACTACGAATAAATGCAACAGGAATTAAGTCCCTTATGAACTCTATAACTCTACTACGTCACCTTTACATTTCAGCTTTTTGCCTCATGCAGTATTCATGTGTTATACAATAACTCCCTAATACAAGTATCATGAAACTTTTATCAGGTTGTTGTTTCCATGTTATTATGCTGTTAAGTTTATGGCTACATATGGGCATATGAATTGTTTCATTAAGCTGTATAAAAAGGAAATACACTTGTTATGTCTCATAAATGTGTCATGAAGTTTTAATGAAGATAAATCATCACTCTACGTTTATCTGGGTAATAAGTAAAGTTTCTGAAGCAGTACTTTATTCTAATCCACATAACTCTCTGATCTTTTGAATAAGGTCAAAGCTCATTAACTTCCTCTCCCATGGGGTTTTCTGGAAAGCCTGCATTATGTAACATAACACAAGATTGACTAATTTGGGCACAAGCTGTCAGAATGCAAAAACCTCCTTTGCTTAGAGATATTTTCCCTAGCACAGACAGAGATGATGCAAACTGACATTTGCATAGTGTCTTATTGCAAAGCAAACAAAATGAAGCAGTCGACATCACCAAAACTCACATTTTGCAAACTCAAGCCTCTAAAGCATTTTCTGTAATAATTTGCAAAATCAGAAAAAAAAGAAAACACGGCAGATTATTGCTGACTAATATCCTTCTGAAAAAAACTAAAAGGCATCATTGTCTATAGTATCAATGATTTAAGGGGTGTATCAGTTAATTTGTTTATTCAGCTCATTGTCTAAAAATACTGCCGACTGAACTTAATTGATCTTGATATGACTTTTTAATTGTGAATAATTTGTGTTGGATAAATCCAAATGCTGAAAATCAAATGATTGTTTTTGATTAAGTTTTGATTAAATGATAGTCACCACATTTTTAGACACATTTTCAGTGAGACTCATAGCCTCCTTTCCATTATTAAATATGATATCTACTCTGACTAAGATCCATTGAGATAGATTGCCAAGATAACAATAACTGCTAATACTTTACAGTCTGATATACAATCTGTTCAATGTTTTATTGAATTGGTAATTGCTTTTATATCTAATTGAAAATCACTGCATTATGAATCCAATCCAATCAATTCATTGTCAGCTCAAAGATTCACACTCCTAATAATTAATTGAAATGGACTTTCAACCAATATAACTGCCATGATAACATGACGAAAGTTTTGGGTCATAATAAAAAATAATATAACAGATAATCGTTCATTTGAAATGTTGTCTTGGCAACTAAATTAAATAAATAACTTTGTTAATAGTAAAATAGTTTGTAAAAGTAAATATTAATAAATATTACAACAGTATATGAACAATAAAAATAGTACATCAATCATATAAATAGAGTCAAGCTCTATTTGTATGATAAATTGCAATTGTTGCAGCCTATGTAGAGTTGACTTATTAGGTTCCATTTGAGTTAGGTTTTGCAACAGGTTTTGTTATGTCTCTCGTGGTATGTGACCCACTGGTCCTCTATTCACAGGTAGTTATTGTGTCCCGGTGTGTGAGATTATAGCCGTTCAGGAAAAAGAAGATGACTCTCCGTGTGAAAACAATGGGAAATGGCAGAAGGTTCCTCAGAGCCCAGCGGACTCCTGCCAGCATGCTTTCACAGGTACACCAGCATAATCAGACTGTCACCTGCTTATCTGGCCCTGATAACAGGGGAATACATAGTTTGTTACTTTATCTATATTCCGTGAGTGTATTATCAAAATGATACTGATCATACAGGTCACCTTTTACCTAGTTTTTTGAATAATGTGGCATTCTTGTTTGTGTTTCTCTGCAGTGTTCTATGTAGAGAGGACGAGGCAGCACTGCTGGTGGTGCAGCAACGTGACTTTCCACTGCTCTGAACATTCCCTGTGTCTGCTCTGGGTCCAAACTATTAGGGAACAACTTGCATTGCTGAGTGCGTCTTTAATTTTTGTATAACAAACTATACATAAACTATAGCAAAAAAGACAAGTTATTGTTTATAGGTTGGTCAGCGATTTTCACACCAGTTTTGTGTACATGATTAATCATTATGTTAATAGTTTCTTGGTGTCCTTTGTGTGAATTTATTGTAAACATGTTTTTCATTCGATAATAGACTCTGAGGGATGAGTTAATTACTACCACACATTTGGTACTGTACATAATTATGGTATACATAAATAATGGATGCTAATTCCTTTTTGACACAGCATGAAAAAAATCTCTCTTCCCTTTTAATCTGCATTTTAATTAGCCAAAATAGCTGGCATTTTTGTTAACCACTTTTTTTTTTTCGATCTGTGCTCAGTTACTCCGCCCAAAATAGAATCTCATCAAAAAATTTAAATATCAAATATGTTCTGATTTGATTTTAGTGTTTGCTTAGAAACTGAGAAAATAATTGTAAATTTGAAATAACCCAGAATGTTTCTTACCAATCCTATGGATAGTTTTGGGGAGTTTTGGTCTTCTCTATGTTGTCACAACAGATGAAGTTTTTCAAAAGCAACTTAATGAAGTAGTTTTGACAGCCTAGGAAGACTGTTGTCAAACAAAAACTCACTTTTAATGCTCTGCCCGCCTCTCATTCCGCAGCCAATCGACCGAAGAGTTTGCTAGTGTACATCAACCCCTACGGAGGAAAACAACATGGGAAGCAGATTTACGACCACAAAGTGGCCCCCATCTTTTCCCGGGCTTCCATTTCCACCGACGTGATTGGTGAGTGCCCGTTAGCCGCATGCATTAACATTTAAATAAAAAATGAGCTTTTATGCTTCGCAAATAGATCTCCGTTGGCAAATGGCCCCACCTGCCAACCCGTCCCACGAATATGATTTTATTTACAGCGCCATCTATCACAGGAGCTGGCCATAATGCAAACTGTGATAGTCGATAAACATAGGAATGCAAAGACATCCATTATTTATTAAGTTTGAGGGAGGAAGACCCTGGGTTGGTGTGAATATCGGCTGTTGGAACTAAAGCTTACAGGCTTACTCAGCAGTTGCTTGAGGGTATTCATTTTTACGACCATGCGGACATTTCGTAAATGGTAAAGTACATGTCTGGCTGGACAAATACCATTCAAACCAAATCATTAGAGGAGCCAAACAAGATGTTCTGCCGACGGTTTAATAAGCTCCATACATCACCTTTGGCATATATCATCAACGTGATCCACAGGGCTCGGTCCTGGGCCCCATTCATTTTCAGCACATCCCTCCGAGTTACAGCTTTACATCAGTGCTGATGGTAAAGAACCGGTAATGAAATGTACCGGGGATTGTTTTTCACCAAGACTTCAGCTTCATCATTTGATGTGGCTGATTGATGGTCTCCATCAAGCCAGCAGAAAAATGCAATTTAACTGCCAGATGAACATAATGATGTTTCTCCCCCTCTGCCCAGCCTCGCTGTCATTGTCCCGTTAACAATGGCTTTTTCTCTGTTGTTTCTATAGTTACAGAGCGTGCAAATCATGCCAGGGACCACTTGAAGACAGAGGCTGATCTGAAGAAGTATGATGGGTGAGTGGGCATCCTGCTGGGAGATCAAGGTCGCTGTGTGGCGACTCTTAATTTGCCAACTGAGGAATGCGTCCTCTGCAGCACAGCTCAGATTAACATTTGCACATCAATGCACATCTGTCTGGCACTGCGGCAGATGATGGCGGGCAGCTTGGGAAATGACAACTGAAAATAGAGTGGCTTTTGGTGACAGCAACATGGATGCTGCTTTAAAGCTGGGCCAGAGGCTGTATTCACAAAACAACTCTGACTGTTGCATCTGGATCTTTTTTCTCTACTTTTTAACATCCATTTCTGTGAATGACAGTTTAGACACAAATTTCATTCATTTGCGCTCTTCCTTTCACTGAAGAAAATTTAGTTTAAAACAAATATACATTGAAGTGATCAGTGTAGTCTCTCTCTGCAGTGTGGTGTGTGTCGGAGGTGATGGCATGTTCAGCGAGATCATGCATGGCCTCGTCTCCCTTACGCAGCAAGAAGCAGGTGTGGATGAGAACTCTATGGAGGAGACCCTTATGCCGTGTGGACTTCGCATCGGCATAATTCCTGCAGGTTGGTCTATAGCAGTGTTTCCCAATCCTGGTACTGGAGCGTGTACCCAACACATTTTGTACATGTCCCTTCTCACATCCAGTTCAGTTCATGAGCACTCTATTAACAAGCTGATGAGCTGAATCGGGTGCATTAGATAAAAGAGGCATCCAAAATGTGCAGTGTTGGTGATGCTCCAGGACTGAGAATCACTTGTCTACAGTCACAAATATTAGAGTCTATACAGCCAAGACAGTTCCTCAGAATGGATTTCATTGCTTTTTCATGCACGTCACTTCCTTGGCAGTGTTCCTGGAAGCATCCGTCACTCACGGTTCCATTACAGCATTTGTGTTTTGAGATATTTCCAAGTCATTGGAAGTTTTACACCTGCACATGGGCACAGCTGCATAATAGAGGAGAACTGCAGGAGATTATAGCTCTCTTCCAAAACCTAGTGAGCTGCCTGGAAAGCATGTTTAGGCATCAGAGGTGCACTCATGATATAAAGGCTGTTCAAAAAATGGAAAGCAACATTATGTTGCCTTTGATGATACTGTGTTTTGATCAAATGTTAGTGGGCTATTCACACAGAACATGTTTGCGTCTGTGTGTGCACTATTATTTTTAAATAGTGGGTCTCTGTAAAGTTGCTTGTTGAATATCGCTGGCTGGTATAAAGCATCTTGTATTTTTTTTCAGCATCTCAGTGCTATATGTATTTTTTTTTGTTTAGCTTTTTTAAGTTTTAATACATTCTGATTGTCAGCACTACATGTGTCATTTGTGGATAATCTGCAATTAACACTGTTACCAAAAAAACATATTAAGCAGCACAACTGTTTTCAACGTTGATAATAATAAGAATTGTTTCTTGAGTACCAAATCAGCATATTAGGAATGATATTTGACACTAATAACTGGAGTAATGACTACTAAAAATTCAGCTTTGCCTTCACAGGAATAAATACAACTTTAAAATATATTTAGAATTGGAAACATGCATTTTATATTTTAATAGTATTTTACAAGATTACTGTAAATAAATTTTAAAAACGCAGCCTTGTTTAGAGACTTCTTTCAAAAACATAAAAAAATATTATTGACCTAGAACTTTGGATGGTAGTGTATAATCTCTCTCTCTCACATATAAAGCTTCAAAATATACAACATACTGCACTTTTTAAATTGTTTAAAGCCAGAGAATGGGAAAGAAAAATACTTGGGCAAAACACGTTATTAATAAATGACCAACCTGAAAGAGCACAAGCAGAACAAATAGACTGTTGTCATGCACTGCAGAATGCCCTTCACAAGAGCTCTGCCAGCAATTGATAACTTAATGACTGTGGCTTATCAAATCCTGTTTTCTGATATTACTGTTTGCCATATAAACCAGACAATGTCGAAACCTTAAGAGTCCATATTGTTATCAGTCATGTTATCAGCGTGTGTAATTCTGTCTATTCATGGCCTTATCTCACATTGTCAAAGACATGCAAGGACTATTGACAGTTTCTATGAACAGCTCCTGGTCCATTATCTTGTTTCTGGATGACAACTGATCTGAGCAGCAAGGGAATTTGAGACAAATCTTTGACTTTAATGTCTAATAGAAGAAAGCATCTGAAACCACTGACAAAAACGAACCATGCTTTTAACATTATAATATCATGTTTATTTGAAAACGTACCATGTTAAAATGTAATAATACCATTTTGGATTAAATGTTTTAGATGCTGACTTCAAGTTTAATACACGAAAGCATCTGAAACCGCTGACAAAACCAAAAAAGTTATATGCTATTACCATGCTATATTTAAAATAATGATGATGATAGTAATAATAATAATAATAATAGTAATAATTTTTTGAATGTATAGCATACTGATACCATGGTTTTTTGGACATATGCCTTTGCCATGTTTTTGGACACGTGTTTTGATAATACTATGTTTTTTTAATCTATGCCATATTAATATAACAGGTTATTTATATTAATTAGTATCCTTTTAAAATGTTTTATTAAATGATTACATGGATCATTTGTTCCTTTTATTTATTTAATTACAATTACATGAGATTTGAATTAGTGCTGTCAAACAATTAATCGCGATTAATCGCATCCAAAATAAAAGTTTTTGTTTACATAATATAAGTGTGTGTGTACTGTGTACATTGATTATGTATATATTAATACACACACATACAGTATATATTTTGAAAATATTTACATGTATATATTTATATTCATATAATTTATATGATCAATAAATATACTTAAAATATAAACATAACATTTTTCTTAAATATATACATGCATGTGTGTGTATTTATATATACATAATAAATATACACAGTACACACACATATATTATGTAAACAAAAAC